GAGGACCTTTTCTCCTTATCCAACGTCTTGTACGTACACGTAGATACCGAACGCAGTAATATTAGTCTAGCCGACCAGGCCGTAGACTTCTCTACTCATTGCTCTCGTGATATCTAGTAGATAGGACTAGACTTATTCTTTGTAATTTTGAGTGGTTTCAATAAAATCACAGTTAAATCGGAAAGTACGAACGAACATATTAATAGCTTAAACAAAGAAGCAAAAGGATCTATAACATAATTAGTGTTCTAAGTAGCATAATTAGTGTCCCAAGTAGCATAATTAGTGTCCCAAGTAGCATAACTAGCACCCCGAATTAATATTTTCATTCAATGGGCTAAGCCAGCCAAGGCAGCACGTCCCATACGATAACACGCATTAGCATATACCATCAAATTAGTTAGTTAGTACTTAATGTCTTACTTAGACAAAGGATGTAAGGTCTAGCTATAGGCAATAGTGTTTGCTTCACGCTAGGATCTATAGTGAAAGGATGACTGGATGGCATTAAGTGAATAATACTTGACTTCCCTGAAGCCGGTGTGCGGCGCGGGTTATACGCAGCCAACTCGCTTGGCACGCTAGGACTGTAACGACTTACACGTTGCTCTCACCTACAAATCAGCCCGGGGCCGGGACCGACGGAAACTTGTGACCCCGAGATCAATGCTTCAGAAAATCGAGACTCAGGAAAGGGCGCCAAGTCATCCGATTCGGAACCGAAAGGGGTCCGGCATTAATTTCGGTGATTCTTGCGCAACTGTCGGATCACTATCGGACCCCCAATTGGCACCCGACTATCCGGCACGACAATCGTTTGACTCGGGCCTCCTTTGGCCGGATGTCAAGGGGCTGGTTGGGCTACAAGACTCAGACGATTTGGAATAGCTCCCTGGGCGACCAAGGAACACATACGGAGGGGTGCCGGTAGACAATACCCTGGCCAACTGTATCGAAAAAGAGTATATAGACCAAGCTAGATACTATGTAGCTCGGTAGTTTTCTACTATCCTTTCGTACCAGGCCTATAGGTAGCAATTTATTCGGGTACCCATATGAGCCATTACGCACTCCCATATGCCTCTGAGTGCTCCCGGATCCCAAACGAATACCTTGCTTAACCTGAGCCGATACAAGGACCTTATCAGGACTTAGCGCAATATGCCACAACACCATAACGAACTTTGTGATCTGCTCGTTACAAAGGAAGTCCTGCTAAAACAGGGAACAGGTAGAGCTCAAAACAAAATAGGAGCAACTAGGTAGAGCTAATAACAAAGAGAGGGGCACTAGGTAGAGCTAGAAAAAAATAAGATAAGAGGTAAGAGATGTCATAGGACTAACTTAAACTAGAAATCCCAACGTGCTAGGGACGAATGGTTGTGAATAAATTGACCGTGGAGCACACTTCGAGCAATTTCCCTACCATTTAAACTACATTCCATTTCTATAGTCCAGACGGATGACCCAAGAAACCCGATGCATCCAAACATGGACAGCTATGTTCAGCTGGTATTTTTACCTGAGATCGCCAGTGCCATGCACGAGGAGCCATCCCTAGCACAACCATTCTACCACCAAATTTTCTTCATTCGATTTCAAGTCGCCTGAGAATATTCATTCTCAGTCAATCGCTGCCCAAACTACTTCGAATTTATTGTCCCCAAGAAGGTAAGATGGGTCTCCTTCCATTAAATGACTAGATTTACAACCTTCCCCATATACAGGACGAGGTGAACTCCAAACACGACTTAGCCGTTACGACACAGGATACCACTATCCAGGCTAATCTTATCGCTCTCAATAAACAACTCGGAAAGATCAAGCTTCTCCTTATCAACAATTCCTTATTGCTTTATATCTCGACCATAACCCAAATGGATGACCTAAAGCTTTCCGATTACCAAACGGAGATTGATGCCCGCTGAAGAGATCACCAAAACAGTGGTGGAATCCTCGACTTCAGCCGCGCTTACGAGTACTGGCATTAGCATCTTCCTTGCTGGCGGCATAGATGGAATCTTTACTACTATGAATGGTGCTAAAGAGCAAGAACACCTCTAAAAGTTGTTAGATCAACTCAACGACAAGATAAAGATTGTTAACAAGCATCTTCCTACTGTCAATAAAATAGCCGTCGAAATTGACAAGAAGACGGTCGAAGGGATCAGTGCCTTCCAGAAAGTAGAAATAGAAATGAAAGATCTGCTACCTACCGGACATAAACCTATTTTCCGGACTGACTTCCCAGCTACGCTGGACAACCTCGCCGCCTGTCTTGCTGATCAGTAGCTCGCCATAACTCAATTCTCACTCCTCATCCAGTTGCGCGACACCTATGTTAAAGCAGTCAAGAAAAACCCACATATTACAAAGGATTTTGCTCTCAACGCTGTGTTACTTATTTCTCCTAAGTGGGCTGATTATAATCTCCTGGAGCTCATGTGGACCGAAGTGCTGGCAAAGTATTCTAACAATATGGCTAATGGTAAGTAGGTTCTTGGAATAGGGATTGCATTTGGCTGACTCAATAAGCTACTTTCCAAGAATGTAATTCATCACTTTTTATTGGCCAGATAGTAATAGGTTGTCTAGAGTATTGATCGCAAGTTCACTCTATCATTAACGGCTATGACCATTAATCCCCCGAGAAACGCTGAATGAGCGATCCTAGAGCTACATTCGCAATTCTACCCTGCCCTCATTTCAGTTTCGAATCGGCTCTGCTTCGCTTTCGAGCTGGTCCGTGCCTCGCATCTCCAAAAAGCTGCGCGAGCTTCTGCGGGTATCCGTTTCAGTGTTCAGCAGAATAATTAAGCACTACTGCATCTAGTGGATGTCGCTCTAAAAGTAGTTTAACCACGTTTTGGGCATTACCGCTATTGTATTTGTACCTTCCATCTCTTCTCCGCCTGAGGATCCCCCTTGGAAGACATGGCAAGGGAGCATGCAGCGAGTGAGGAGGAACTTATAGCCCAGCCGTCTTCTTTATAAATGTCGGCGTCAAGCGTGGTCCCTTATATAGCTGCTTGCATCCAGTAGCTTATGGCGCTCTGTTCTCGAAGATCCGGTGCTGCGTCATCATGGACCTTTTCTACTACCTTACAAACTGTCGATCGTGGATATGTATTCCTTGCGGTATAGGGCTCAGAACCAAGCACTACCTGGTGCACCTCAACCCACATTGACCACTGTTGCAGAAGTCCCCACTGTTGCGCGGTTCAGCTAGTTGAATTGGAGCACTGGTATCTCAGCCACTCGGCGTCTAGCGCATGATCCAGCGGCTGGTTCGGATGAATATAAATAGAGGAGCAGATCAAAACGAGTTGGTATGTATGGATTGACGAGCGGCCCGATGGATCAGCAACATAAGCCCAAGTTGACATTCTGTGAAAGTTGCCGCTTCGGCATGCATATCGCGATCTACATGCGGATCGGTCCATGTTTGAGTAAGATGCCGCACACGGCGGCTCATGTCGAAACTTTCATGCGAGACAGGAAACAACTATCAGCAGATGCATGGAGCTCCTTGTACGGTGCCTTAACTCTCACAATTGATTGCCGTAGGGAGCTAACCTCGAGCGCCAAGTCGAGGAGCAATCGAGCATCAAAGAAATTGAAGCGGGATCTAAAAGTAGTTTCGCAGGCGGAGATACCCAAAGAGTATTGGGACGTCTCCGCTAATACTTCAATTGCCCCCGGAAGGGTATACTGCAAGCGCGCAGGTAACACATACTAGGGGCCTATAAACTTCAGACAAGGACCTCTCCGATTATTGATTGGAAGTAGGTGCCGCTGTTCGTAAGTACAGGCCACGAGGCCTACTGTCTTTGCTAATCGTGAAGGTGCGGTCTCGGTATCCTGGCGTTTAGGCGTACGCCGGCATTTCTCGTCGCAAGAGGTGACGTATAATAGGACGCCGCGAGCCCGTCCTAATCCTCTTCTACATCACTACAAGCACTCCCCTTTTCCTTCTTACGTTAGTTTACTGCGCGTCATAGATCATTACACTTTTCAGATTCAACGACCCTCACAATATAGATAAGATACAATGTCAAACTTACTCACAACGCTTTGTGTGAATTCAGACGGGAAGGACGATCGACTAACTGGTGGGTCGGGTCTTGGTTTCGGCCTCAGAGGCAAGCCCTATAGATGAGCACAAGCCGTATCAAAGAGCAGCGCAAGCCCCATTATCGTTAGGTGTGAGGAGACGTTGTCGCCAACCCCACAGGTTACGTGTTGCTGGCTACACAGTTGGAGCTTACACTTCTACGCATACCCTGTTGAGCTGCGCCATCGGCAGGCAACACAGTCTAGGTACTACCTTCACATTAATCGCCTCCTATGCTATGCATATCGATAGAGGCGAGTATGCTTCGATCCATGCCAGGAAATATACGAGATCTACAGTCTCAAGCTCACTGGAATGCAAGTGCAGACGATAGACTATACTTGGACAAAGCTAAGGAAGCTATCACAAGCAGAAGCAGAGTGGTCCATCCCTCCTGCTCCTTCCTCGAACATGCTTGAGGACCTCTTCCAACTCCTGATGATGATCTGGTGCCTCCTCCGCTACACCTCTTATCGAAAGAACTTCATCTTCATACGAAGCGTCGCATCCACAGCCATGCCTTTCCGTCTATTGTGAAGTTGGCAGGTATGCCTAATCGTTTCACGGAGACTCATCTGCAGTGAAATGCAGCAAAACCCATAGTTGTTGTACGTAGCATGGGCGTAAAGTGCTCTTTGCCGACCATCGAAGGGTCCGGAGGATCATGCGGGACCGAAAAGTATCGCGGTGGAGCTCCTGGGGCCGGCTCATGCTTTCTTCCGTGGTTCACACGGCACAATGGCTCCAGATAGCGGAACTAGATGATGCGTTGATATCAACCTGCTTTACTGCTACGCCAGCACAAGTAGTATCCCATTCGGACCCCAGGATATTAATTGAGCTCATTCCCTAGATCCAGCTAGATTTCGAAGCATGCTGATTCTCACTACTGAGCGTTTCCGCTTTTGTCCATACTCATCTGTTGATGGAGTTTGCTAGCTTCTTTAGGCTCATGTCTTTCCTTCACCGCCTCTCCGGGCTTGGTAAAAACGTCCTTGATGTTTCTACCACTTGGGGCAGGAGACGAAGGATGGGATACGCTCTCGCGGAGACGGTGTTCCGTGCCGGTTCGCATACGGCCAATATCGGATGCTGTACTCGCCTGCGAGAGAGCATAATCACCTAAGTCGAAGTATTTACGTCCCTGTGATTGGGTTTGAATCACTGATGTCGTAATGTACTGTTAAGTGTAGCGAGCGTATACCTCAAGTTGGCGATGAAGCAGATTTCCTCTCGCGGGGTGTTTCCCATATAGGCGAGACAGACAACTATCTCGCTCGGTGAGAGACAACCGAGAAATGAGTATAGTTTGCTATGATAAACGGGGTGAGTACAGACTTACCTGAGAGTCTCCCTGGTCCTTAGGATCATTCATCCTGAGGAAGTTCCGTGAACAGGAGGTTAGAGAGAACTCATGCGCGAGCTATAGCATAGGTGGATCCTAGTATCGAAATGATTCCCAAGACAGGCATTAGGTACTGTATAAGGGATTGCGAACAACGGATAAAGTGATGAAATGATGCTTGAAGGAACCACGGCAAGTGACTAAAGCTTCTAAGCCGCTACATGCCAAAAACAGGTATTGCAAAGGTATGACGACCCTGAGGTCAGACACGCCTGTTTATTGCAGTCTTGGGGGGGAGTTGACTAATCTCACGGGTTAGATACTTTGCACTAGATCGGGCGTCCCGAACAGAGTCTGATGAAACACTATCTGCCTTCGCGCAGCTTGCGACGCTGCGTTTGAACACGACGCGCGCGTTGATATCCCTCATTGACCGGACACCATTTCGCACTTGGTTTCCGGATGCGTCTTCCGGCGTGGCCGGCGGCAAGCATTTCGGAGCCAAGACGCCGGAACATGCCGACGCTGGCGACGCTGATTGGTTGGATGACTGCCGACTCGTCATTACCCAAGAGTCTTCCGAATGACAAGCCCTTAAAAGTTTGCCCTGCCAATCCCAACAACTTCTTCTTTGTCTGCTAGGCCGGCGAAAGCGGGGACCCGACTTGGCGGCGTTGTTGTAGAATGAATAAAGCAAATAGCAAAGGAAACACACGTAGTTTCTTTCTACTGGCCTTTTGCTACTCTACAAGCGTGGCGCTCTAATTATTTCAATTATTCCAACGCCGTATAATCTATACTAACTTACACACGAAGTCTTCATGAGTTCAATGGACTTTATTGGAAAGGCTTTGGGAGCGTTGGGTTATTTTGGCACCGCCATTGTCACTTTTCCCGCAGATGTGGCGGCAGATGGGACCGTACTCATCCAATTCGCAAACCGCAAGTTCAAGGAAGCCAGCATTAACGCAGTACAAGAACTTTTTACGGCAGTATTGGAACGCTTTCCGACAGTGCTCCCTGGCCTGTCCACCGGCCTGCTTCTGACTACAACGGAAAATCTCATCAAGGCAGTCGTCAATGCACTCATCGTCCAGATAGGAGGTCTTTCCACCATAAATAACACTGTAACCAGCAATGAGATCAACAAGGCGACTCTTGCTCTGATATGGAGGGATAGCGCTGAGTTGGGAAAATTCTTGGTTGGGTTACTTGACCCCATCAAGTGTTATGTCTTGGCAAACTCAGGCAGTGGGATAGCCGCGCCTAGCGAAGAACATGGCACTGACAACGAACTGGACCTCACCGATCCCATGAATCGTCATGCCGTCATTTGTCAGTTTCAAAGACTCGTACGGTCTGTAGTTTTCATCCTCACCAACATGACGCAAGATACGATTCAGGCCATTGATATCATTCCGCAAACGAAGTTGCTGAGTGATGATCAGACCCCCGGCGACATCATGGAACCATCATCTCCAACGTCTGCGATGATGCCGCAAGAAAAATGGATTTTTGTCAATGGTATTGCTGGGGAGCTGTGGTGGCTGAAGGTTGCTTGCAGGAAGCTAGCAACGAAATATCGGAGAGACGTTACGGGTGTGTTCAACAGAGGCGATGGGATCCTTTGGGATCTGATCGAATGTGCAGGTGAGAGGAGCTTACATGGAAGTGAAAGAGCTGCGAGCCAGAGACAACTCATCCAGCGGACAGCCAGCAGTAACAACGCTCAAGTGGCATTGAGGAGCAAGTTGGAAGAAGCTTTGGCGGCTGAAGGAGACGAAAAGATTGTGGTCATAGCCCATTCTCAAGGCTGTCTTTTGCTCCGTTTGGCCCTTGAAGATATACTGGTCGGCCGAACATCCTTCTTTCCTGCCTCCACACGAACAGAATCTGATCTGGAAACTTATGCTTGGGCTAGGCAGAAGATGCGTTCCCAACTTTATGTCTTCACATTTGGTAATCCGAGCGTGGACTGGAGGCTTGAGACGACAGACATTACCCAAAGTGAATTCGGTACCTATATAAGCAGACAGGACCCCGCATATCTGAGCAGCTACGTTTACCGCACCGAACACTTCGCGAATGATCAAGACTTTGTTGCTAAACTCGGAGTACTGAGTTCTAGTAGGCCTGCAGACAGCGGGTACTCAAACGTTTTCATCAACGACCGACCAACCTGGATCGGTCATCTATTCGGAACCCAGTACAGCCTCGACCCGACCCATTACCAACCAAATGGCCAAATCTCTCGCTTGCTTACATGTGTTCCTGGCCAGCCTATTCCTGTTTAGCCGGATCGTGATGTCAGCAAAGGGCAATCAGGAAACAACCCTATTGTTACAAGGGGTTTTCACGTACCTAACCGTAGGTTCGGACCTTGCAGGTATTCAGTGATTCGAGCGTGAGGGATGGCGGTACCAAAGAGGGTGGGTTGAATATCCTATACCATGTGGAATATAATATAACAAATATTAAGAGAAGACTAATGGTTCATATAAAGATAAGTGGCTTTAATTTAGATAACGTACCTGGTAAACGAGCTGGCCAGGTAAGCGAGCTGGCCACCCCACCAGACTTTAATGCCTCTATAGTGATATATCTCAACAACACAATTATTTGGATTCATAGGTAAGCAATGTAGATAGGTACAAGACGGGCAACCAAAGTAGATTGTAGGAGAGACGAATCGCTGTCGCACTAGACCCGACAGCTTCCTAGCTTTTATAGCTAGCTACTGTTAGCTTGGGCTTAATCGTCCCGGGTTACGCCCTGTCTCGACGGATATCCCATGACAGGAGACGTGAGGTATAGGATAGCAAGGGTTCTGAAAGCAGTCGCAGCCGGGGGATCAGTGTTGGAATCAAGACCAGACCAGCTCCAGATTGAAGAGGAATCCACAAACTCTGACACGGAGGATAAGCGCATTCGCATACAGTTTTCATCTAAACACCTCGTTTTAGCATCGTCGCATTTCCAAGGTAGCCTTGGAGGCGAATTAACGGAAGGCCATACCCTCCGGTCCGAAGGTCACTTCAAAATCGAGATGAATGGACACGGCCTGGATGCAATGCTGCTGGTGATGAACATGATCCATGGTAGATTTCGGCAGCTGCCTTCATCTGTTGACCTCTGTACATTGACGAGAATCGCCGTGTTGACAGATTACCTTCAATGCCATGAAGTTGTAGAGCCATTCGTCGACCAGTGGATTGAGAGACTAGAAGGAAAAATCGTGCACGTCTACTCGAAGGAACTGATTCAATGGCTCTGCATCTTCCAAATCTTCAGAAAAGGGTGATTTGTTCAAGGCTGTCACTCGTACCGCCTTGCGCCAGGCCAGGGACTTGATCGATAAAGCGGACCTTCTAATCTGGGATAGCATTGAAGGTTAGTCGCTCCCCTCGATGCGAATTTGAGACTGATCGATTAAGATGAACTCAATCGACAAAGATCTGCTGCGATTGAGAAGCTCTTGTCAGGTCTTACGAGCCTTCTACAAGACCTTCTATACGATCAGGACCAATGTGACTATCAATGCAACGCTCTTCGGTCTGGAATACTCGCGAAAAAATTAGCGTTGCGATGACTCCATTCTCCCGGGCCGCAGCCCCCTTTCTTGGCCATAGTTCGAGAACATAGCCTCTAGCATCGTTCGCGTTCAAGACTCACCGTGCCGATCTTTACCCCCAAGGAGTATGTTTGACTCGCCATGCACATCCAAAGCTCAAATCAGTTCTCTTCTCAAGGAAGTTGAAAACTCTCTCGATGGCCTCTCATTTGACACAATTGCAACGCAATAACGAGCACATGCTCTAATGAAGGTGGAAACCAGCCTTAGGGTTACGGAGAAGTTACTTACTTTTGGGACCACAATGAGTGAAGAACGACATGGCGAGGCGAATGCAGTCTTTTGATTTTCTATACAATAGGTAGTGGTGGAGCTATGTGCGTGTGAAGGTGGCGTCTCCACCGAGCTACGCCCATATGCGGTAGGGCGCAGACCAAGACCATAAATGAACGCGCTAACCGCTATTAATTTCGGTCTGATGCTGGCAGCTCTTCGCCTACCAAATTCCCACCTGAGTTCACTAAGCTTTCGATCCAATACTGTATATACACTTACCTGATGCATTGTATAACGAAAGTGTGCTCTTGGGCGGCGGCTAGCTCGTGCTCTATTTTTAAACAAACCGTCAAACAGCACAGGATCTTGCTGATTGGCGTTTCAATCACCACATCACCAGTATTCCTTATCGAGGCGCATACAACTCCCTAAGTGCATCGTTTTCATTTTCCAGAATTGGATTGCACCCATTTCATTCCCGTCTCTGCCCCTGTGCCTGCGTTGGGTAGGCGAAAGGAGAGCCAATACCGCTTCCATAGCAGCGTTCTTGCTAGGGTCTTGTTCTCGCTGTTCATCACTATCGCATGCGCAACCCGGGAATTCTGTGCCTAGCAGACCTCCTTTCCCACGTCAATGTAAGCACTTGATGTCATGTATCTCTCCGCAAGCGCCCCGGTCTAGTGTCCGTCAGCTACTGAAGTCATCATCTAGGAGATGACTCACTTTCCGGTCCTCTCTGCAAGGGGGATGAACAGGAATAGGGAGACGTCTACAAAGCCCACCAACCGTCTAGAGGAATAGTGTAGCAGTTAGTGAAGGGGCGCAGCGTTTTCAACGTAGCGTACACCCATCCGTACTAGGGTCAAGCACGTACGTACGTACGGATCGACTGGAAATTCGTACAGTACGCTCCGTAGTACGTAGTACGATCCGTAGAAAATACCTATTGCCTAAATAGGAAGGTGGTTAGGGTTGACGTCGTCGTAGAGGTCCTCATCGTCCCTCGCCAACCGGGTGATTTTCCGCGCATCCTTCTTGACGACGTCATCTGATATCCTTGTGAGGTAAGTTGATACGACGGATCTCCTCTTCCAAGTCTTCTGGAGCTGCAAAGCTTCGACGACGGAGGGTGATAGCAAATTGCGATCGCAAGTTATTATACGTTTGGCGGACGAGAAACACCGCTCGTAGTCACATGACGTCTCTGGCACAGAGAGGGGATCCATCACCATCTTGTGTATGACCGGGAAGCGTTTCTGGCCAACGTCGACCCACCGGTGGCGTGGGTCCTGTATCAAATTGTATAAATCTGGCGACGCGGAGGCGGCCAGCTTGTCGTCGTAAGGACTGTTAAAGTACTCGTCGAGCTGCAACGTACGTTTCTGCTACTTATGTGGCTTCTTGCCCGTGAGTAGGTGGTCGTCGGCCCACATTGTTCGAAGTGTCCGCTCGTCGCTGGCGTACGCCCCTGGCACCTTCCGCGTGCGGGCAAGCTCTGCCAGCTCGTCCGGGTCGTCTGCAACGTCCTCAGCTGCCAAATATTTATTATAGAAGTCCCAAATCGATTTCTCAGCTGCCTTGTGCCAGTAAGGAAGGTCTCTCCACTGCGACTTGAACCATGAGAGGCACAGGCATGGGTGCATGGTGGTCGCCACGCAATAGAGGGAGGGCGCATTGTCTTCGGCTGGCATGACTAACTTTTGGACATATGTGTTAAGCTGCTCGAGGGCAAGCTTGACGCTGGATTTCATATATTGGGATTGCGCAAAGCCGTCAGTTTGATATACGCTGAGCTCGTCCGCGCCACTGAGATACGCGTGTATTTCTTGGAAGTTGACTATCGTCTGCCATAGGGATTCAAACCCGGAGCTGGAAGCATTGCCCTCCAGCAACTTGTATTTTGTAGAACGTCTTCATGACCAAAATCATGACTCAGACTTCGTCACATTCGTCGTTTAGGGTTAGCTTTCATCGCCCACAAAACAATTCACAAAACAATGGAGTTTCCGGGCAAACTTATGTTCCTGAGCAGCCTCGTGAATAATATCGGCTTGTGCGGCGGCCCGAATGATCGCAGAAAAGTGGCTGAAAGGCTATAAGTAGGTGGGGTCGATGGAGGAGAGTATCTAGAGAAGTTACGGGTCAGTGGGGCGAGATTTTGCAGTATCGCTAACTCAGGTAGAACCAGCCAGATTAACAATTGTTCCGGGCGCGGGACATAGATAACCGTGCCTTAGGAGTCGATGCACGCTGTCAGATTAGATGATAATTTTTTTGAGTTGAAAATGATGATTGATTGAAGTGAGTGCTGATCGTCTCGATGGTTTCTTGTTCTCTTGTGAACATGCCTTCCAAGCAATGGATAAACCCGTTTTAGGAATAGGTACAGGTGCGCCAGCCACCCCATAGCGCCAATAACCATGTAATCGGACATGAGGTCTCCATCTGGGATGAATTGGGATGAGTGTTCATGATTTATTGATTGTGTGTTCTCTTGTCTTAGCTGAGATGAAGATTTTGTTTGTTTATGGGTACGTGCACCTGGTCTCTGCAGTCAACAAGGAGCTTAGACCGTCAATCAAAGCCCTCGTATCTGACAAGTAGCTTCTTGGTATACTAGAGACAGATACCCGCAGGAGCTCGCGCTGCGTTTTGGTGAGGCGAGGTATGGACCAATTTGATAGCGAAGCGTCGCCAATCAGCAATCGAGAAACTAGAATGAGGGCGCAGAGTGTATTTGCGATTAATTCTCTAGGCTTAGCTTAGGCGTCTCTACTACTTGCGCTCTCGTGACATAAAGAGACCGCAAACAGAAACTAAAATTAGAAACAGCTGAAAACGGAAACGAAAAGTTTGGATACTTCGCGATCGATTCACGCTAGTTGCACAGACATGCGTGTAAGTCGAAGGACTACCTTTAGTAGATAAATGAGTCTTGCACGGTAGTCAGCTCGTATTAAGCACTAGAGCGCGCCCTCGAGGCCGTTCATCTGATAGATCTTACGATCACATGTTACTATCACATGTATACTGGATGCACGAATTAGCTCAACTCACTTCTATTGGCGTGAGCCTTCCCCACATTTCGCATATAAAATCAAGGAAGCATCACATCACTAGGAGTACGGCCAAGTTCGAATGCCTTTGTGAGAAATCTTTTCACCTTCATATCAGGATCACCATCCGAAAATATCCGCTGCTAAGGTCAGCAGGACAGTTCTATCTGAAATGTCGAGTTCTTCAAAGATTCCACTATCGACTGTTCACGCGAAAAAGCTACTTTGTTTAGATGGTGGTGGCGTTAAGGGTATTTCAAGCTTGATCGTACTCGACGCCATCATGAAGCGCGTCAGGGAGTTGGAGGAGAAAGACCCAGACCCTACACAACATTTTCCACACACTTACTTCGACTTAGCTGGGGGTACCAGTACCGGAGGGCTTGCAGCTCTAATGATGTTTCGTCTGGGAATGAGCACAGCGCAAACGATGCAATCCTATGAAGAAATGTCAAAGAAAATCTTCGCGTCAAGTTGTGCGACTAAGTTTAGAGGAATCTTCTCCTCTATGTATTCGGCTTCGGGCCTGGAGAAGGCGATTGACAAAGTCGTTGGGAAGGCTCTAGGGGTTAATTGTGATGCTGCTGGCCGCAGAACCCTTCTTTTGGGGCAACCTCCTCAGAAAACGAGCGAAGCTCCGGTCAAACCGTCAAAGATGTACGTGGTGATCGTGATGATTGGAGCTGATGATCGAAACTTACTTATTTTAGGTTACTGTGCTCAACCCTGGTCGAGAGAGGCGAGACGATCCTCTTTCGATCCTACGATCTACCCAATGACGCTGGTCCAGTAACCAATGACATCAAAGATGTGGATTTCTCGAATGTGACAATACACGAGGCTGCGAGAGCAACCTCTGCAGCTCCAACATACCTTCCGGAGGTGATAATCGAGCGTCCTGACGCAGTTTCCGGTAAACCAGTCAAATTCATGTTCTGGGACGGAGGCCTACTCAATAATAATCCGGTTGATCAAGTCTGGGATGCTAGATTTGATTTAGCTGATGGGCTTAACTCCAATCCTTGCATATCACTCGTTGTTAGCATCGGAACGAGCTGGTCTGAGAGCGAGCCTCTTTCGAGTTGGTTTCTTACACGCTTCATGAACACTATCAGTCAGACCATGTCATTTGTGACAAATACCGAGGCCAAACACAAAGACTTTAAGCGGAATATTGGCCGAATGAACAGAAGGGTGCCGGAGGAGCAACGAACCTACTACTTTAGGTTCAACACGCCCACTGGCAAGGAAAAGTTCGAGCTCGATAACTGGAAGCAAATGGATAGGCTCAAGGCTCTCACTATGAATTATCTTAATAACGATGAAAAGGCTCAGAAAGACCTTGAGGACTGTGCGAGGATCCTTGTGAGACAAGCGCCCCATTACCCACCTCTCATCACAGGTGCCCCAGCAACTGGTCGAGGGAAATAGCATTTTACGGGAAGAGTTACGTACGCTACCACTGCTTGCGAGCGTGGAAAAGTATGGCAATCTATCTGCGAATTTAGAGAGGCCCTGTACGTATCGCATTGCATTTTGGCGAACCGACTCGAAAGAAAAGCGAGGCAAATTATCGGTAGCGACTGAGAGGGCAGTCGCGAGCGCCGCCGTTTTCGGCTGGAACCTGAAAGTAACTTTTTCCCGCCACCTGCACCTGACCCTGACCCGGGTTTGGCCATTCATTTTCAGTGCATATCTGCATCACTATATGGATACCTTTCTTAAATCCTAGTGAATATACACATATATGCCGAATCAAAATGCAGTACTCCTTGCTAATAGGATCCTGATTTCTCGCCGGTCCCTCTTGAATCTTAATGATAAGTGTATAGCTCACGATCCAGGGCCCCCTTTACGAATCAACGTATTGTAGGGCCATCGTACTCAAAGCAAACAGAAGAAGCGCCAGTTAGCCAGTGGGACAAAGTTAAGAGCCAACTGTTATGGGCCAGATGCTCGAGGAGCCAAGATAGCCAGAATGAATATTTATGAATTCACGAAGACTCGAAGTTAAGCTTCTACTACCGAAGTTATATATCTGCCCCCCGAAGCTAACATTGGGTCCGAGGTCCCAGCCGGTCCTGGGCCGAGACAAGACCTCCAGGGCGTAGCCCATTACATACCCCCCTACTCTGCCCTCCTGAGGGTTGTTCTGTGGTGGGAGGCAGTCCCTTTGTGTCGTAGGCTCGCGCAGGCCTGTCCATTCGGGCCTCTAGATTTACTTCCTTGCTCTGGAGTTATAGTTTATCGCAGGGAGAGACCCGCTCCTATACTTTAGGCGTGGGAAGCAGTCTTCTTAAGGTTATAGGGTCTAGTTCTCCCTAGGACATCTCGTATAGTGTAGATCTGTAGGGTGGGGAGTAGGGAGTTCTTAATCTAGGCTAGGCGTCTTTATTAGACGTATCCTAAAGGCTCTAAAAGTACCTTATTATAGTTCCTAAAGTAAATTTCTAT